TTTTTTTTTTTTTTTTTTTGCAGAACCGGGGTTTGAACTCAGGCCCTTGCGCTTGCCAGGGAAGCGCTTATTCCACTGAGCCATCCCCCGGCCCCTAATTCCGTTTCTTACTGTAGTATCTCCCACTCACAAATCGTGCCTAGTCCCTCCCCTTCAACTCGCAAGTGCCCCCGGAGGCTCCTCCCCTCCCCGCCCCCTCTCATTCGGTTTCTTACTGTAGTATCTCCCACTCACAGACCGGGCCTAGTCCTGCAGAGGGCGTATGATCTCAGCATCCTGCAGGAAGACTTTATCCCATCCCAGTAGTTTCCCTGCAAGCCAAGGAAGATAATGCACATCAAGGAAAAACCACTTGTGGGGCTAGCAAAGCACATGCCCAGACAGCGGATCAGTACAAGTCGGGAACTGGTGCAGGTGGTGTGAACAGGTGAGTCTGAGTCACCAGGTAAAAGCTAATTGTGCCCCAGCACTCCAGGCACAGTTAGGAGTTGGCACCTCTGTCAAGTATATATGCTCAGGGGGTGGTGAGATGGCTCAGTGGTCTAAAGCACCTACTTGGAACAAGTTTGGCAAAGCACAGGGACCGGGGTTCCATCCCCCAGCACCACAAGCCAGCCAGCCCCTCCCCCAGGTGGGCTGAGCTGGCCACACACACACACACACACACACACAAATAAATAAATGTTTTTTTAAAAAGTATATGTGCTCAGCAGAGGTGGTGGAAATACCAATTTTCTCAGAATAAAAACTGTGTAATAAGCCTCTTTATATCCAAAATTAGAGATGAATTGGTGTCTGAGATAGACAACTTCTTGATGGACAAATTAAGCCACTTAAAACTAGACAAAAGAAGGAGGATGCAGCTCAGTGGTAATTACCTAGCATGCATGAGGCCCTGGGTTCTTTATTCTCAGTGCTACCCCCTACACCCCCCAAAAAATATGTAGAAATGGCATAAATTTCTGTCCTGGGGAGTAACACAATACAGCCTGCATTTTCAGAATTTCAGTTGTGACTTGCTACCTTTCAGCTTGCAGGCCTCAGGGTTATACTGTGCAACTTACAGCTGTATTCCGCTAATTATGCCAGAGACAAGCAGTCCAGGTAAGGAGTTCCAGTGGGCTGTCACTGAATGGGATTATAACTCACTAAGTCACAGAGTTCACTGGCACCAAATATTTTAATTATTCCAAGAATAATCCAGTGACCCTTTAAACCCAGGCTGCTTCCCAGCCGGCCTACCCACTAATCTTACTCTAGGGTCAGGTCTAAGTCAGAAGGGAAGCACTAGAAAGAGACAGAAGCTGTCCTTCCTGGCGCGCTGTGCTCTCTCCGGGCTATGGAAGAGCTGCAGTGCCTGTTTGGTGCCTGTTTGCCGGTTCTCCTTACCGGGAACATTCCTCCCTGGGGCACCTTTCATCCTGCATGAACATAAGCACCACAGATCTTGTTTCCCGCTCTGTCCTCCAGTCCTGGGCTCACAGAAAGAAGTCAACAAATGTCTGCGGGATGAGTAAGTGAATGAATGAACATCTTAGCTGTTCTCTGTTTTCCCAGCTGGGTTCCTGGGCAGGACCTTGAATTCCCCCTGCAGACCCTGCTGTGTTGTTTTCCTCTTGCTCCTTAGAACAAGGAATATTAGAGATACTTAACCTTTTTTATAGTGTTGGGTTTAAACCGTATGATTTTCACTTAGATGTGAGGCCTAGCACGGTTTGCAATCGATTTTTTTGGCGTTTCGCTATTAGGGATAAAATACATAAAACTGAAGGCCCTCACCTAACATTTTTTCCCGATCCAGAAGTTCTGGTCTGGTCTATCGCACGCCCAGGCTCAGGTGTGGCGTGTGGCGAGGCGGCCGCGAAGTCGCAGTACTCGACTGGGTGAAAGGGCGGGGAAGGCAGAGAGGGACAGTACTCAGGTTCACGCGCTGTCCAGTGGGTCCAAGAAGGGCGGGCTGGTCCCGCAGCACGGCCTCTCCCGGGTACGGCTCCCGCAGCTGTGCGCTCCAGGGGACCAAGTCCCTTCCGTCCGCCTCCGCCCCCGGCCAGCGCTCACCTTTGCCCCGACTCCCACGCCGCCCGGATACCCTGTTCCCTGTCAGAATCGGCGGCCCTAAGATCTCGCCCTCGGAGACCCAACCTCCATCCAACCTAACCCGCATGCGCCTCCCCCCACCCCAGGCTCCGAGGAGCCGCCGGGTCACCTCGAGGTGCAAGGCTGGGGGACCAGGACCCCACCCTCCAGGCCGTCCCCTGTGCTCCCTGCACAAGCAGCCCTGGCCCCTGCCCCACACAACCCGGCCCTAGGGAGCGCGGAAAGGGAACTCGGTGACTGCAGGTGGCAAGATCTGAGCACCGGGGTCCCGAGCCCCCTCCGGCTGCCTCCTCGCCTACACTGGGCTGCATGGGGGGGCCCCAGACCCGCGTCCCCCCAACCCTGGATAAGCCCTGCCTCCAGCAGGGAGGGGCGGCCACGGACTGGGGCACCCTGGGGCGGGGGCGGGGCCTCGTGAAAGCGGCTGGGCGACCCGCGGGGACACTGTTGCATCAGCCCCGAGAGCCAAAGCTGCACCAAGTGGGCTCCACCAGCCTAAGGGCGGCTGCTGGCCCGGCAGCTGCCGCCAGGAGGCAGCACCTTACCAAAAATGTCCGGGCTGACGGTGTCAGGGGCTGGAGTCCCCAGAATACCTTCGTTCCTAGAGTTTAACGCAGCCTAGACCTAACAAAAGGGAGTTGTCAGGGAGATCAGGAAAAGCTTCACGCTGTTTAACGCTGAAAGGTGGCTTGTAAATAAATAAAATTTTTGCGCAATCCAGCGTTGGCATTTTTTAAAGTCAACATTGCCGCTCCACAGAGATCCCCAGAAAGCCGACCTCCTCTGAGACCCGCTGGTGGAAGGACGCCCAGTGAAGGGACTTCCCAGCCACCCAGCAACAAGGAAGAGTTAGCCCAAGGTCATAATTGGCCTACTGTTTTATTATTACTCAAAAAGGTTTTACTTTTGTGAAAAACCGGAATAAAACATTTAAAAGCCAGAGATTATATGTAATTGACCCACTTTGATGTTTAACAAAGAATTTAGCCAGTACTGATTTAGCATGAATTTCACAATTTTTATGTCACAATAAATTACAAAAACAATGAGGAGGGCTGGGGAGATAGCTCAGTGGAATAAGCCTGGCAAGTGCAAGGTCCTGAGTTTGATCCCCGGTACCTGGTACTGCAAAAAAAAAAAAAAAAAAAGAGGAATATGTATGCAGTGTGTTTATAGCGGAGTTGTTTAGACCTCTCAGTTCCCAACATTATTCCTTCTTTCCTTTTCATAGCCAGGTCTCAGGTTGGTCTCAAACTCACCTCCCTCCTGCTCTGCCTCCCCACCCCCACCCCGTGCTGGGTGCTGGGATTAGTGGAGTAGCGCCATCACCCCCGACTGAATTTCCTCATTTCTTCAATTTCTTCACAAAGTAGAAATAATTCGATCCTCCAGCTGTCCTAAAAAGGAAGCTAATGAAAAAGCTCCCACCCTTCTCTCTACAACTTCAATCTCAGAAAATTTGTCATTTGCATACAGAAAAGAGAAGAGGACACAAAGCGCGGTGGAATTGGATTCTCAGAGTCAGCTTCACATGATTCTTCTCTGTTGTCACCCTTACTCTCATCACAACTGTCGAAAGGAACCTAATTTCCCAGAGCAAATCACTTGGACAAAAGCAACTGAATGTAGACCTACAGAACAGGAGGATTTTTAAGTAAACAGGTGAAACAAAAACGGGAGTGGAAAACATGTCCTTGAAAGACAGAGGCGTTTAAGAGAGGAAAGGCATGAAGCTCAGATTCTCAGCGTTCCACTTCCCTCTGAATTCCCGCCTCTGCTGATGCAAAGGATAAAGGACGCCCAGCTTGAGGTGACACTGCTTTCCTGTGGTTGTTGAGACTGATGAAGTCATTGAGTGCTGTCCAGGTGCCAGTCCCCTCCCTCAGCTGTACTGTATGAGTTCCCCAGAGTGCTGACAGTGTCCGGTGTCCCCCCTCAAATCGTAACGCGTTTCCTGCCATTTACAACCCATGGATGGTCTCCTGCCACGTCATGCTAACCATGTCAAAAGCTGAACTTACCAACCTTCTAAAGACTCTTCCTTCCCCTCCCTAATTTCCTGGTTCTGATCACACTTCTCATCTTGCCCCAGTGCTCTGGCTCTTGTGCCTAGACACCCACAGCTACTGAATGATTGCAGGTGTCCACTTTCACAGGTAGCATTCACATTGTCCATGTTCTTGTTCACCTAAATCTATGTGTGCCTTTGTGTGAGTTTGCAAATTGATGGTATCCTCTTTATGTGTGGGCTACGATATAATTGTTGCTGGTCACTTTCCTCCAATATAATATAGGTGGTAGCGTGCGCCTGTCATATAAGACTGTTGTCTTTCTTGTCAATTCCAACACTAACTCTTAGATTATCCTTTCAGCCTGTGGCTTCTACTTGATGCTCCAACTGCCAACAGTGGGATGTCTATGATATTGTTATAGGAGGTAGGACCTGGCAGAGCCAGCTGGGAAATGAGCAGGACCAATCAATCACAAGGTACTGGGCAATACAAGGAGCCCTTATGTGGGCCTTCCCATAAGCTCCCACAAAGACATAGATGGCACAAAGGATGAGTGGCCTTCATGGAACACCACCATCCTGCATGAGCACATGGTAGCCTGTGCTGCATCTGAATGCAGTATATTGTTTTATTTTTGGTTTTACCCTCTTTTTCTCTTTGTTCAGCCCAAATTCACTCTGCAGAGCTGGTTTCCCCCACACCCATTTACCTCACACTTTTCAAATAATGGTTTTTGGCACCTTTATTGGCTTGTCTCATTCAATTCTTTATTGGAGGCAAGAAGAACCTGGAACACTTTTGATTGGCAAGCCATTTCTAAAGAAACTACCACCACTACCACCACCCCACCAGGAAAAAGAAAAGAAAAAACAAATGAAACAAACTACCCTGTAACACTCGGCAAAGCCAGCCAGGAGAGTGGAGAGGCACAAGAGTAAAGCTCAGGTACTGGGGATCAAGGTAAGACCTATGTGGGCCCACTTTCTGTTTCTTTCTAAAATTCCACAAGATTGAGGCCTGGCAGTGCTTGCCTGTAATTCCAGCACTCCAGGAGCTGAGGCAGGAGGACACCATGTATGTTCAAGGCCAGCCTGGGCTATATAAGCAAGTTCAAATCCGAATCACATAGAAACCCTGTCTCAAAAACCCAAACAGCCCTACAGTAAAGAACAACAAAACCAAACATATGTGCTATCAGTGTAAGCAATACATCTGCCTGAAGTGTGCAGTTTTCACATGTAAAGACTGCCTTGGGTGTGACAGTTGAAGCAAAGATTATTTCTGTGATAGACTTCTGTTTGTATGTACATTGTAGTTCACATAGGTTTTTATTTTTGATGCTGTCTTTTGGATTTTATAAGCAGGTAAACAGCTGAAGTGAAAATGTTGATGTCTATTCTAAGCACTCACTACATATTTGATATTTTATTGATATCTTATTTCCTGCTAAGTATACATTATATAACAGAAAACAAGACAAGAGAGGTGACAAGAGTGACCTGCCAATAGGAAAGGACAGCTAAGCACATGTGCTGTCAGTGTAAGGAAGAAGTGTGCACGGGACGTGCGGTTTTTGTTTTTTTCTTTTTTTCTTTTTTCTTTTTTTGCAGTACAAAGCATTGAACTCAGAACTTTGCTCTTGCCAGAGAGGTGTTTATGCCGCTAAGCTACATCCCCAATCGGGACATGCAGTTTTCATGTGTGAAGACTGCCTTGAGTGTGACAACTAGAGCAAAGATTATTTCTGTTACAGAGTTCTATTGGTGTTGTAGTTCATATAGCACTTTATCTCTGATGTGACATTTTAGGTTTTGTAAACAAGTACATTGCTGATATGGAAATAATGTTTATTCTAAATGCAAAATACATATTAAGAACATAATACTTTATTGATATTTTATCTTCCTACTAACTACACTCCCTATAATATAATAAGGATATTCCAACAAAATAGCAAGACTAAAAAAAAAAAAACAGCACGACTAATGGCATGTCAAATATGTGCTATAAAACTGTCAGGGGGCAGGTGTGGCAGGATAGCTCATAGGTCTAAAGTGCCTGCTTAGGCAAGTGTAGGCAGGCGCAGGGGACCGAGGTTCAACCCCTGGCACCTCATGCTGTGTGGCCCTGCTCCAACTACGCTGAGCCAGCCACCAACACCAGGCATGGTGGCACATGCCTATAATCCCAGCACTGGGGAGGCTGAAAACAGGAGGATCACTACAGGTCTGAGCTGTGTAGCAAAACCTGTGTACTAAATACCAAAAAAGTGTCAGGAATTTTGGGTGTGATGGCACACACCTGTAATCTCAGCACTAAGAAGGCTGAGGCAAGAATATCACTGCTGGGGCCGGGGAGATGGCTCACTCAGTGGAATAAGTGCTTCCCTTGCAAGCGCAAGGGCCTGAGTTCAAACCCTGGTTCTGCCAAAAAAAAAAAAAAAAAGAAGAAGATCACTGCTAAGGGCCAGGGAGCTAGCTTCTCCAGGTCCTAAGTTCAATCCCTGGTACCACAAAAAAAAAAAAAAGAAAGAAAGAAAGAAAGAAAGAAAGAAAGAAAGAAAGAAAAGAAAAGAAAAAAAAGAGCAAGAGCTAGCTTGAGCTATAAAGTGAGTTTAAAGCCAGCCTGAACTATGTAGTGAGACCCTGTCTCAAAAAGACAAAAAGAGGGCTGGAGAGTTAGCTCAGTAGAATAGGCGCTGGCCTGGCAAGTGCAAGGTCCTGAGTTCAATCCCCAGTACCGCCAAAAAAAAAAAAAAGGTCAGGAAATCAAAACATCTGCTGTCAGTGTAAGTGATGCATGTATAAGGGATGTGCTGTTTTCACATGCAGACTGCCTTAGGTGTGACAGTTGAAGTAAAGTGGGGTTTTTTTTTGATTGATTGATTGATTGATTGATTGATTGATTGATTTTGTGGAACCGGGGATTGAACTCAGGCCCTTGTGCTTGCGGGAAAGCGCTTATTCCACTGAGCCATCTCCCAGCCCCTAAAATTAATTTTTTTTTTTTTTTTGGTACTGGGGATTGAACTCAGGACTCTGCGATTGCC